TTTTGTGAGGATTGAGCACAAGAATATGCACACATTAAATTTTCACTCATGTGGGGGGATTGTAACAATTGAGTGAAATTTTTAATTGAATGGGAGTGACATTTTTAATTGAAGGGACCCACCCATGTGTATCAACTACACAAATTGGCTATGCACATGAAATTGGCATCAGAATCTTAACAACCATGTGAACCATCCCATACTGCCACCTACAGAAACTCGTGAAGACAGTTGGCCATTTGATCAAATTGTTCATCATCTCTCCCTATAAATAAGTATGCTCAGGCGGAAAAGAAGAAGACCAACAAGAGAAAAAGAGAAGAAAGAAGAGAAAGAGAAAGGAAAAACATATAGATTTATGTCCAAATATTGGATATAAAAATATCAAAAGAGAAGAATTTATGTCCAAATATCGGATATAAAAATATCAAAAGAGAAGAAACAACTGATATTTTTATTTGTTTCACAATATTTTTTTTATTTCTTAGTGCTCAATTCTCGACTCCGTTCCCGTTCGCCGGAGCTCGTAAATCTGGTGTGCTACAGATTTAGAGACGTTTGCCGTTGTATCTTTGGGAAGTTACGCCTGAACCGTTAGCTGACACACGGGGCGTATTCTTCTTGCGGAAAGAGTTTTAGTCGCCTCGGCTAAAATCTTTCCGTTTTTCAGTTGTAATTTATTTTTCAGTTCAATTGTAATTTTTCTATTTTTAGATTATTTGTAAGAACTGAAATTACATATCAGTTCGTAGGATTCCCGTGTAATTTTTACACCAAATATCCAACAAGTAATTTCTCCCACTAAATTGGCAGCACCCAATCTTCGGCTAAAACAGCTCGAGCATTTAGGTAAAACAAGTTGCTAGGCACAGAACAGAAAGAGCTTAAACTTATTACTGTACTAATGAACTGCAATGAAGATTTGAGGTAATCCATAAGGCGTTACCACCTTCAAACACATGATAGAAAACTGATTTTTTTTCTTAATTTTACTCCGACTCGAAACGACCCACCAAGATTCGAGCTTGAAATCATTCCAATTTCATACATTAAAAGAAACTACTTTGCAATTTTCCATTAAACTCGCAGGAATTCAAATCAACCCAACAGACTCTTCAATCTGCCATAGACTTCTACCTCAGATTCATTAAAAGCCCACCTCAGAATAGGGTATTGTCTTCTCCAGAAGATTATATGTATCACGGGAAGAAAACAAGGAGAAAATGAAAACGAAGATAATTAATAACAAATTGGAAGAAAACTCGTGCCTCAGTTCGGACGACCCAAGAGCGCTTTGGGAGTGAGGGCGCTAGCCACGCGGCCGCCGAAGGGTCCCGATCCGGCGGAGCTGGTGAACCGTTTCCCGTACACGTGGCTTCCGATCGGACCCGAGGTAATGAATTCGTCACCCTCAGTATCGCCGCCATTATCGGGCACTCGCTATTACCTTCTTAACTGAAATGACTGATATTTCTCTCAATCCATTGTTTGGTAGGATTTTCTTTCCAGCCGATATTAATTTTAGTTTATTGTAGTTTTAATAAATATTAATTAAATTTAATATATAAAACCAATATAAGATAATAGTAAATTTGATTAAAAATCAAATGAAAGCATAAATAATATTAAGTCTAGAACTTTAAAGTTATGAAAAAAATGAAATAAAAAAAAAAATCCTTTACTTTCCGATTTCATTGGTATTTTTCTATATAAAACCAACCTGATATAATATATGAAAAATGGTAAGGTCTCGTTGTGGGACGGTAGCGTCAGCATTTGATATATTGGTTAAACGATATCTAAAAGTTCTAGAATCAATCAAATATATGATACTCCCTCTGTTTTAAAATAATTGTTTGTTTAGGTGAAAGAAACAAAATTACGGCTTTTAAGAATTTTGGTTATCTTACTATGCTATTAGAATTTCTAAATCTCTTAAATTCTATTTAAATATCTTTTAATAGGTTTCTCTGAAATGAAGTTAGAGAGCTTATAGATAAGATACGAATCATTAAAAAAATAATAAGCATGATCTAAACCTTCAAAATTTTAGGATTTTATAAACTAGTTAGTTGAACCATATTTAAAACGACAATTAATAAGAAAAAAAAAAATACACACGACAAGAATTTTAAAATGGAGGGAGTATATTGGACGAATGATTTTAATACAATTATTGACAATAATGGCTTACACATATTTTGAGTTGTTGATTTTGACAGTGATGTTATGTATAAAAAATCACTAGTAAAATTAGAGTTATAATGATCTTTGTATACTCTTTACATAAACACATGTCCCCACTTAATATCAACTCATAAACACATATTATACGAACAAATCATGCTAATTAGGAATCATATTACATGTTATATTTCCAACCCCAAATCAATTAGCGCAGTGGCGCATACCTCGTTCGGCGTATCCCATATCCCGAGTTTAAGTCACTGGGAGAAAAATTGAGGAATCAGTATTAATCCTCATGTGTGTGTAAAATATATACATATATATATATAAACATATGCTACACGCACCAAATTCATAACCCAAAACTCACACAAAAACACACTCCCTCGCTCACCAAACACCAAGCATTCCCCAATGGCAGCCGCCGCGAAACCACCATCTCCTGATCGCAAGGAATTATCTGTTGCCGGCCAGTGCGCCTTCGGACTTGGGATAGTTATATTTATAGCCACATTCATATTCTTAATCGTACAATGTTCCCGGCCGCCCTACTTCTTCCCGACTTTCAAAATCGAATCGGTCTCCCTATCGACAATCAACAACAACACGACCGTGTGGGACCTAGGGTTTGCGGTCGGGAATCTCCACGGCACCAAAGTCGGGGATTTCGGCTTGTGGGCCCGGTGCAAGCCTTCGCCCGACTGGTCTGGGAAGGTTGTGGGGCCCTTGTACATGGAAGACAAAGACTCGGACCTCGGGAACGTGACCTTGGCCGCGGATTTGACGCCTGAACAAGCCGAGTTGAAGGTGCTCGATTGTTGGGTGGTGTTCATGGGTGGCTATTCCGATTACACATTCACGGCCAAGTGCGAGAATGTGAACCTCGGGCCGTCGGGGAACGAGACTGGACGTTGGATTATGGATGGAGGGTAGAGATTGTGTCCTGTTAGCGAATCTCCAATGGAAAAGCCCTCTTCGTTGACCTATCTTCCTATTGTATGGCACAAATAATTCTATGTGGCGTGGGAGCAAAAAAGTATAAGTCATTTAATATTTATTATATATTATTTTTTTAATCAATATATGTTTCTTTTTCTGACTAATTATAATTTCGCACATCACAAAAAAGTTAACGTTACTTCATATGTTCTTTCACCTAATGGTCAAGTAAAATTCAAGATTTATCATCTTGTTACAATCGTAGATAATTAAATAAATAGTTGAAAATATTTGAAATTTTTTATAAGTATTTATTATGCTGATTAATTACTGAGTAAAGATATAAGATATGATAAGTATTAGCGTATTATTAATGTCATTACAAATATGTCAAAAGTAAGAATTTTGTAGGTAATTCATTTTTTAATCCTACCTATATATAATTCCCGAATGCGCTGAGCCTACGTGGCTGCTTTTGGTGCTTCGTAATCCTATTTGGCGAAGAATCATGCTTCGTAATTAGGTTTGGATAAATATTATCACTTTTAATAATTAATAATCTAGGTTCGGGTATTCCATAAATATTATTTTGGTAATTTAGGTATTTTAATATCACTTTTACTAATATAACCCTTTAATTCTTTGTAATTTACATAGGCACTAAGTGACTAATATATCCCTGAATTTTGATTTGTTTCCTTCAATTTGAATTATAAATGTATTTTAAAAGTTGATAACTTTTGTATTTCATATCGGTTTTACATATATAATATATCAAATTAATCATCTTTTGATGATCTTTGATTTGACATCCATATTGTATATATATGAAATAAATAAATTATATTTATCTTTATAATAATAAAAAATAATAATATTTATTGAAATTCATTAAAAAAATAAAATTATTGTTTAATTGATATATTTATATGTAATGTAGTTATATATTGTAAGTTAAAAAAAATTAGTATAATATAACACAAGTAACTTGCTCAAATAAAAAGTGTCATAATAAATATATAATAATATATATATATATATATATATATATTATTATAAAAGGTATTTAAATTTTCAAACTACTTTTCCTCATTAGTTTTAGGTTTTAAGAAAAAAATTAGCAAGTATCCGTGTAATACACGGGTGTTGTACTAGTTATAAATATATATGATGGGTATTAATCTAATATGTCAAAGTAAGAGTTTTTTCATGCAGTTTTTAATTCTTTGCAAAACCAAATTCGTGCTATTATAATAAGTATAGAAGAAATAAATAAATAGGTATAGAATTTTTTATTCAATTCATCATATATATTATTTGATCAACATTTTTAATCCATGTATGTATTCCCACAAAATGCATGCTAATTAACACGGTTCTAATATTAATGACCAGAATGAGAAGTCTACTGGTAGTAGGATTATTCTAAAGTACACTAGATCAGAATGGTAGTTGAATTAGAGTTTTATCAAATCATAAACACAAATTATACGAACAAATCATCTTACAATATTCCTAAGCCAAATTTAATATCCGCTAATACATATATATATATATAGACACATATTACACGCCCAAAACACACACACACACAGAGACACTAACACACAAAAGCATCCCCCAATGACAACACCAACACCACCTAATCAAAAGGCACCATTCCCCGTCCAGATCTGCTTCATTCCGTTAATTTTCATTTGTTTTGTCCTACTCTTCACCGTAGCTATAATCGCGGACAATAAACAACAGCACCGCCTCCCGACTTTCAAAATCGAGTCGGTCTCCCTATCGACAACCAACAACAACACGAATATTAACACGGCCGTGTGGGACCTCGGGTTTTTGGTCGAGAAGCTCCACGACACGGGCACGAAAATGGAGGATTTCACCGTGTGGGCTAGATGCAAGCCTTCGCTCGAGTGGTCCGGGAGATTCACGGGGCCCCTGTACATGGAAGACAAAGACTCCGGCCTCGGGAACGTGACGTTGGCCACGGTTTTGACGCCTGAACAAGCCGAGTCGAGGGTGCTCGATTGTGGGGTCATGTTCAAGGGTAGCCATTTGGGTTACAGGTTATTCACGGCCTTGTGCAAGAACGTGATCATCGAGGCGGAGACTGCTGGCCGTTGGATTATGGTTGGAGAGTCGATATTGTGTCCGGTTACTGATTAACGTACTAGGTTTATGTTCACTCTCCGTCTTTTTTTTTTTTTTTTAAAAAACTTTATAATTGACTTATTTTTAAAATGTTAATTTTATTTCTCATCACTTTTACATTTGTGTCAAAAAGATATTGTGATGTTGAAATTCCAAGTTTGAGTTTACGGCAATTTTTGTTGGGACTTTCATATACGAAAAATTGAAATATTTTTACAACAATATAAACAATTAATTGACAAAATAAAGTACGTGTACAAAGTAAATAATTAATTTTTTAATTTAGGCATGGATGGAAAAGCATTAAGATTAGCATGCATAGAAGAGAATCATCACTTGAAACCGAACCAAATTTAGTTATAAAATAATTAATTGTAAATTAGTTTTTATGAATTTACAAATGCAATTGGACGTGAGTTTAGTTATAAAATGAATTGTATAATTGACTGAAATTAGTTTCCTTCTAATTTCTACTACAATTAGTTGGTGTATACAATTGCAAGTACTCTATGTAATTATGTTGAATTACTTTTATATAAAATTAATTCAGACAAATTTTAACTTGATTATCGATTAAATCCTAGTCGGTTCTAGTATGAATAGAATTATCTATGTGGCGTGGAAGTCTTTGTTTAAGATGTATAAGTCATTTTAAATAATTTTTATTACAAATTATTTTTTATATTCGATATATCTTTCTTCTTCGACCAATTATATATAATTTTACACATCATAAATGATATCAATTTATCTGTTTGATATCAATTTTTTATTTTTACTTTATTATATTTTTATTTCAAATGTTTTTTCACCTAATGGTTAAGTAAAGATCCAGTTAACTTTATTGGCCTTTGTGATGAAAATTGAAAAAACAAATAAAAAAATTATTTGGATTTTTTATAAGTATTTATATTTTTAAAATTATTTATTATACACAAATTACCCTCAACTAAGTAGTTAGTTCCAAACAAGATTTCTTGTTACAAATGTAGATAAGTAAATAAGTAGTTGAAAATATTTAGATTTTTTATAAGTACTTATAACTTTTCTATATTAGAATTATGAAATATAATTATGATTTTACTTTTAAAATTACATTAAAAATAGGGTTTTTTTTTTTAAATAACTATTCTCTATCTTTTAAAGCTTTTCTTATTTGGGTTGATATTGAATTGATTTTTGGGTGACATGAAAAAAAAAAACAATTTGAGAGATATGTGGAAGAAAACAAATTCATTGTGGTTGATTTTTGGGAGATGTGGAATATTTTTTTTCATGTATTTGTATTTAATTAATTAAATATTAATTATTAATTAAAGATATCGATAAGTACTAGCGTATTATTAATTTGTCATTACAAATATTATGTCAAAAGTAAGAATTTTTTAGGTAGTTTATTTTTTAATTAAAAATATAAGATAGGATGGGTATCAAAAAAAAAAAAAAAA